CGCTCCTAACCACAGACATTGCTTCTTCTCCTGCTAGTTCGAGGTTTCTCTTAGTCTGCATTTTTGATTAAAATTTTTAATAAATACCAGAGTTTATAAGCCAAAGGAAGAGATGGATACTCCAAAACAAAAATTCTGTGCAAAGAAAAGTCCTCTGAGACTTTTCAGAAAGCGGCAGACTAGGAAATGTGGTTAGAGAACAGAAAATTAGAACACAGATTACTTTTAAAACTACAGATTAATGAGGAAAATGATAAATGCTCAGTAGAAGAGCAGAGAAGTGGGTGAGCAGAGGAAGTGAATGGCCCATGAAGAGGCGATGCTTAGGCTGGCTGGGAGCGGCCAGAAGGCCACGGTGACACTATTGCGCACCTATCAGGGTGGCAAACCCTGCACGGTGTCAAGTGTTGGCAAGGATGTGGAGCCCCGAGACCTCTTGCTGCTACTGGTGGAAACTGACGTGTACTGCAGAGAGCATTTTGGCGCCATGGTGAGACATGTTGCATGAGCTACTCTGAGTGAAGGCTCATTCCGGGAAACTTGCTGTGTGGACAGGGAGACTAGGAGGAGACGGCCCGTGAGACTTTCTGTCCTTTACATAAATGAGGGGAAAGAAGCCTAAACGTCCACCAGAAGAGAGAAGGAGTGACTCAAAATAGTCACGCCGTGGAATAACTAGACAGGGCTACAGATGCATAGTTGAGATACACAGGTCAACCATTCAATCAGCATCGAATCTTAAGGGCAGTTTTGGGTATGCAATATTTACGTGAACTTTTAAAAACAAAACATACCGTATTATTGGTAGATGAATATAAGGATAGCAAAAGTTTAGAAGTCTAGGCAGCATCCTTGCTTCAAATTCCAGTTTATAATGGCTTCTAAGAAGGGGAAGACTTGTAGCTTTCTCAATCTTTTAAAAAAATTTTTTCCTTGTTTTTTCAAGACAAGGTTTCTCTGTGTAACCCTAGCTGTCTTGGAACTTGCTCTGTAAACCAGGCTGTCCTTGAACTCACAGAGAGTCACCTATCTACCGAGTGCTGGGATTAAAGGCATGCACAGCCACCACCCAGCCTTTTTATTTTTTAATTTTTAAAGACTTATTTATTTTCCTTTATTATGGGAGTGTTTTGCACACATGAATATATGTGTGCGTGGTGCCCATGGAGGTCAGAGCCCCTGGGACTGGAGTTACAGTCAGTTGTCAGCCACCCGAACTTGGGTTCTCTGAAAAACTAATGAGTACTCTTAGTCAGAGTCTCAAGGTGCACATGAATGTCCTCTGTGACTTCAGGTTTCTCATTCTTGGTCTTAGTCTACACTGGGTTAAACCACTCAGGAGACAATGCTTGTGTGTGACATGGACAGACTAGACCTTTTGTTCCTCCCTGAGCACTACAGAGCAGCTCTGTGCACAAGTCCACATGGGATCAGGTGTCATAAGTAATCTAGCGATGATATAAAGCGCGTGGGAGGATGCTCTTTACAAACACCCTATCATTTGTATAGGGAGATGAGCATCCTTGTTTGTGGTATCTGTGGGTACCAGAGAATGCCTGCACTGAGAGAAATGTGTCTGGCTTATGTACACATTATATTCAGGCACGTTACATTCTTTTTCAAGTCAGAATACACTACATATGATCTGCATCTGCTTGCTTACAGCATGCATACATACATGCATACTTGTCCACATATACATCTATACATAAAATGTTAAAGAGGGGAAAAAGGAAAAGTGTATATTAGACCCACATGCCACAGCGTTCTTGGACTGCCTGAAGCACATCCATGGACACCCGAGGTGCCTTTGGGCCTGGATTAAGAAGCCCCTGCCTTGAGCTGGGCAGTGGTGGTGCACACCTTTAATCCCATCAGATCTCTGAGTTCGAGGCTGGTCTACAGAGCAAGTTCCAGGACAGCCAGGGCTACGCTGAGAAACCCTGTCTCAGAAAAAAAAAGAAAAAAGAAAAAGAAGGCCCTGCCTTAAGACCTCCCAGGCAGGGCTCATCCACTTGTCAAGGAAATAGTGACTCAGTGAACATAGGCCTGGCCGCAGATCACAGGGTATTTGGATAGAGCGGCACCAAGCACCAAGCACCAAGCACTCTGGCTCCCAGCCATTACCCATCCCCTCTGCCATACTCCTTTCTTTCCCCCGCTGTCTCTTGGCAGAAGGCCCCTCATTCCAGCCCATGTACATGGTTATCTTTGACACTGACGACTCGTAGACGGGCTGGGCATGCAGCACGGTCTTCTCCGCGCTTGGAGCAGCAGCAAGGCATCCACAGCTCCTGGATGCTCATGAGTGGTGTTCAGCTGACGGGTCGCGTTCTGACACCGTACTTCCCCTTGCGCTGTTGCTTTGCCTGGGGTATTGAGCTAATTTGTTAGTTCTGAGTTTGAACATAAAAAGAGCAGGCTGGCTGCCAAGGCCCGAAAAGATCTAAGAGCCTTAAATGATTTTGAACTTGCCCTAAATAGTGTTCCTTAAAATAGCTAGTGAGCAGGCCATCCCTGGCCCAGAATTTCAGGTAAGCCTGTGGAACTCATTTGTCAGCAGAGGACTCTTGGGCCGTGGACAACTTGTTCTCACGATGAACCAACTGAAGCCTTAACCAGGTGTTAGAATAGTGGGCCAGAACTGGTTGCCAGGTAAAGCTCACAGTCCCAGTCATCTGTGACCTAGTTCTTGTACTGCTTTTTGGTCACAGGCTGTCTTGGTGTTAGAGGTCCTGGGTGTACACTGGGGGCCCAGACAAGGCTGGGATTCTTGAAGCTTGTGTCGTTCCATCTGATTTGGCATCTCTACTTAGTGGACAAGGCTTTCATGGATTAGGCCGCCCTCCTGAATCACTGGGGCTGGGTGGATAGCAGTGACCAGAGCTGATCTGCCTGGTGTATGGAGCTGCCAGGAGGGCCCCAAATGGCAATGTCCAAAGGCAGACATGGAATGGGGCCTGAGCACCTGGCTAGCTGACCAGCCCACTGCAAGTGTTCAAGTGTCTTCCAGGCTGACTCCAGGGAGCCCATCAGAAACACAGCCGTAGATACAGGGTGAGGGAAGCTGCAGACACTGGGAGCTCAGTTTGCCTTGCATTTTGGGTGGCCAGAGGGCCACACAAGGGCTGGCCAGACACTGTTTTCCAATGTCTGGCAATTCCCTGCTGTCCTGGGAGCATCCCAGGCTTCTTTGGATCGCTCGCATGTGCAAAGACGGTAACTTTTTGAGCCCTCCTCAGCCTAGCCCATGCTGAACAGGAATCTCCCCTCCTCCCAGGACCTGCATACAGCAGTTCTCTACACCTGCTCCCCAGTGACCTCGGGGCTGACCAGAAGCCCTGCCTCACGCTGAGGGATGTTTCTTGTGTGGGTGTCCTTGCTTGGGGAACCTTATGTCAGCCCTGTAGGAAGATATTATCTACCAACCATGAGGCATTTGGTCCAATTAGAGTTTGACAAACCCATGATTGACCAACCGCACTCAGTGGCTCATTTTCCACTTTCATCACCTCTGACAGGTAGACCCCGGCTCTTCTCAGTCAAGGGCAGCCACCCTCTCACTGGAAGCCTTACAATTCCTGGTGAAATAAACAACCGAGTGAGTGGCTAATGAAGCTACAGTCAGTGTTTCTCCTCCTGTCCACCTGGTACTCCTGTGTGTATACACATATGCGCTGTGTTGTAAGTTACCTGTGTGTATACACATATGTGCTATGCTGTGTGTTACCTGTGTGTATACACATATGTGCCATGCTGCGTGTTACCTGTGTGTATATACATATGCACCATGCTGCACGTTACCTGTGTGTATACACATATGCACCATGCTGCACATTACCTGTGTGTATACACATATGCACTGTGCTATTACCTGTATGTATACACATGTGCTGTGCTGCGTGTTACCTGTGTTTACACATATGCGCCATGCTGCATGTTACCTGTGTGTATACACATATGCACTGTGCTGTTACCTATATGTATACATATGTGCTGTGCTGCGTGTTACCTGTGTATACACATGTGCCGTGCTGCATGTTAGCTGTGTGTATAGACATGTGCCGTGCTGCATGTTAGCTGTGTGTATATGCATGTGCGCTGTGCTGTGTGTCCCATTGTTCTGTATAGGGACAGTGGGGCTTCTTAGCATTGAAGCTTACATCTCTCTATGGATTTAAAACACTAAACTTTGTCCCCCTAGCCCCAGGATGCTACACTTAGTCACTCTAACTGTACATTATCAGCCGGGCATCCTTAGCTGTAAAACTCACCTTCTTGTGTCTGGTGCCTGAACTAGAGGCCTGGGAGCTGCCTCTGGCTCCAGTTGCTCACATCTGTTTTCTTTTTCTTTTTCTTTTTTTCTTGGTTTCTCTGAGACAGGGTTTCTCTCTTGCTTTGGAGCCTGTCCTGGTACTCGCTCTGTAGACCAGGATGGCCTCGAACTCATAGAGATTAGCCTACCTCTGCCTCCTGAGTGCTGGGATTAAAGTCACGTGTTCACATCTGTTTGTTTTCTAACTGATCCCTTCTCAGCACAGACTGACTGGCTCTGAGAGCCCTGGCTGCTCCTGCCACTGTGCCAGCCCCCCACCCACACCCCCACTCCACTTGCAGGTGTACAGAATCTTTGCCTCACCACTGCCTCCACCCCAGTTCCAACCGCACTCCTTAGAATTTTAGGCTTCCTCACGCTACCCTGTCTGCCTTGGACGGGCCTCGCCCTCCTAGCCATCCCTCATCTTTCGCAGCTCCGCTGCTGATTCTGCCAGCAGCCCTCCCCTGAGTGCCCCAGCCCCAAGGACGCATTTGTCCTCTGGGCTCCTCGTCACTGTCATCATCACTGATGATGATTATGGCTTGCTGGTTTGTTTGCCACTTAGACTCTGGGCTTTCTGGTGAGTCTGAAGTCGGTCTCCTGGCTGTTCTTTCTCTGAGGTCAGTTCCGCTTCTACCAGCATCTCTAGTGACTGAGAAGTAGCCCACAGCTGGGACGCGTGAGTCCTTGTAGAGATTGTGAGTTGAGTCTTTTCGTACAGAGCCAAGCAAGGTCAGGGCCTAGCCCTTATTTTATTGAACATCTCTCCCACTGCCTTTTTATTTTAATCTCTTGCTTTTCAGATTCACTCACCCCTGTGTGTGCATATGCATGAGGGCACCCTCCTGGGACACTGTCCTATGCTTCTGGGTCAGGTCAGCTCCACACTGAGCTGAGAGCCCCGCGTCTTCTGGCAGTGCCATGCATGCCTCCTATCCCACAGGTCCTATCGTTCCATCGAATCCTGCATCTTCCCGGTGTCCTCGTGCCTCTGAAGATGGTGATGGGCCTCTGTCTGGTCCTGCAGGGAACCAGGATGAATAGCCATCAGCTGTTGGGAGCCTCACACTTGGTGGGATGGGATCGGCAGCCTGGGGTTCCCATAGTAACCAGCCCATCAATGCCCTCAGTGTCGAGATGGTGGCACCGCAGAGGGGAAGAAATAGTCTCATTGTCTCCCCTTTGGCCGCTTGGGCACAAACAAGCCGCACCCCGCAGGGCCCTGCAGGGCCCTGAGGTCCGGCCAGATTCGCTACTCTGCAGTGGTGCGCTGCACATGTCCCCTGCTGAACTGGACCAGGAAGGGGCCATCACTGTCAGCTCTTGGACCCTCATGGGGACTCTTGAATTTCTGCCACTGGCCATCATCAGTAGTCATCGAGCCCTTGTTGATTAGGGCCAAGTTTTCAATGGCCAGCCAGGCCGCTCCTGCCGCGGGGTAAACAAATCCCTTGTGTTGCTGAAGGAACCCGAATTTCCACACTTTCCCCCTTTGGTTTCTAGTCCTGCTGGTGATAGTCTCAGCAATGATCACAGAACATCCTACTTGCCCAGGAGAGGCCTAGGTTACCTGTGTGATCTGATCACCAGGAGAGAGAGAGAGAGAGAGAGACAGAGACGACAGAGACAGAGAGAAAGACAGAGAGACACAGAGAGAGAGAGAGCCACTGTGTAATTCAGAACCCTCTCCAGAACTCCTTGGGGTACCCTATACCCCCAAACCTGACCTTCTGTCCACCTTGTCTCTTTCCCTGCTCTCCAGGCCAGAAACCAGGGTATTTCCTTGGATTTTTCCTTTCCCTGGTATTGGCAGCCCCTAGGTACAGTCCCTGCCAGCCTGCCTCCATGGCCTCTCATCCCTCACCCCTCAAGCCAGCAGCCACAGCCCAGGCCAGCCCGTGTTTACACTCTGCTAACACCTGAATTGCTGCCCTGCTTCCCTGACTCCCTTCTTAGCCTGGACACCGCCCCCCCCCCAACCGGAAGGATCTTTAGAACCACAAGCCTCATATTGTCCCTTCCCTGCTTTCAAGCCGTCAGAGGCTCCCGTGTAGGGCCGTACACACAGCCCCGGTGAGGTGCCCACCTGCCCCCTGCATAACCTTGAGCCTAGCTCCTTCCTATTTGCTTCTGTAGGGGCAGAACTTTGATGTTCTGGAAACCTTACCCGGCTCTTTCTTTACATCTGCTGTTTCTTATTGCTCACATTCTCTATCTGATCTCCCCAGAGAACCGCATCATCCTCGAGGACTGGCTGGAATGGTCTTTTCTGACCTGTCTCCTGCTGACAGGGTTGAACTGTCCACCCAGAGTGTGTGAGCGAGCGTGTCTGTCTTCTCCCTGGACTGCAGCATAAGTATAGTAGTAGCTTAAACTCTCATGACCTGGCCTGCTTCCTGGCACGCAGGCTCAGTCCTCCTGAAACCTTCACAGCGTTTTTATTCCGGGATTGGTGGTTTCCTGATGCCATTCCCTGACTTCATTGTCACGGTTTCTGTTGAGTTCTAGGTTTGTAACTGTCAAGGACATGTAGGGGTTTCTATCCTGTGACATCTCTTGGTACCTTGCTGCTGGGTGGCGTGTTCTCCATCACTCGGTCTCGCTCCATGATTTCATCGCCACCTGCAGAGACTTAAAAATCAAGGCTGAGGAATAACCTCAGTCCTCCCTGCCATGTGGCTACTACAGGGTAGAGCTGACACATTTGGCAGTACCCAGGGATCCAGGCTGGTGTCTCAAAATAAAGGTGACTCCTTTGCTCCTAAGTGGACCAGGGACAGGAAGAAAACCACAGGGCCAGGAAGTTGAGGTGGAAGAAATAATGACGGGTATAGAGAGTCTGGTCTACCCCAAGCCTCAGCAGGAGTCTTTTGTGAAGGTTTTAATCTTTGGAGTGGCAGTCCAGATCCTGACTACACTGTGCCTCTGGTGTGACTGTATTTAGACGGCAGCTTAGTCAGTGGACGCCGCTCCCAGCGTGACTGTCACCATTCAGCTTTTAGCTGGTCCTTACTAGCCACCAAATGCTGCTGGCAATCCCTAGAGTCCTGATATTAACTTCACTACACAGCTGGGCAAATTGGCCCCCAGAGAGGCTGAGTAATTTACTACAGTTTGTGGATGTCTACCCAATCGCTTGGCAGCCTGACTTGTGGGCCCTACTCTGGCCGTGCCAGCCCTGTTAGGAGAGGTACTGAGAGCAGGTGATAAATGAGCCAGTGGGGGCTTGAGTCAGGTTTTCCAACAGCTAAGAGCAGAGGGTTGTAATCCAGTCAGGAAGGTTGGGGAGGAAGGGCGGTGTCCTGGGAAGGTGCTTTGTGGCCCTGCTAAGTGAGGGTGCCTTGTACTTGGGATCCTCCCTTCTTATCAAGCCTCTGGCCCAGAACTTACATCAAAGGCTTATCTATGCAGGAATGAAGGCAGACCAGCATGGCCTAGGATCAAACCCTTGGGCCTTACATGTGCTAGGCAAGTACTCTACCACTGAGCCACACCCCAGCCCTAGACCAGCATTTTTTTTATAATGGATCCCTGAATTTCAAGTGCAGGGAAGGTTTCTTGTTTACACTCTCCAGCCTAGAGTATATCCTCCCAGCTTAGTGTATAACCCCCATCCTAGTATATACTCTCCAACCTAGTGTATACCTCCCCATCATAGTGTGTATATCCACCCTGGTGTATACCCTCCCCATCCTGTTGTATACTCTCCCCATTCTGGTATATACCTCCCCATTCTGGTGTATACCCTCCCTTCCTAGTGTGTACCCTCCACATCATAGTGTATATATCCACCTGGTGTATACCCTCCCCATCCTGGTGTGTACCTCCTTGTTCTAGTGTATACCTTTCCGTTCTAGTGTATACCCCATCCTGGTGTATACCCCATCCTAGTGTATACCCCATCCTAGTGTACACCCCTATCCTAGTATATATCCCCATCCTAGTGTATACACTCATCCTAGTGTATACCCCATCCTAGTGTGTACCCCCATCCTAGTGTGTACCCTCCATCCTAGTGTGTACCCCCATCCTAGTGTATACCCTCCATCCTAGTGTATATCCTCCCGGCCTGGTATATATATACCCCCCAGCTTAGTGTATACCACCCAGCCTGGCAGACTTTGTGTTCCCACTATAATGGTACTAAGCATTAGAGTCAGAAAGTAGAAGCTAGAGGTAAGAGGAATCCTGGTGGGGACCCAGGGCTGCACTGAGGGTGGCACAGCCGGGCTATAAAGCCTTATAGTCTGCATCTATTGCACAGCCGGGCTATAAAGCCTCATAGTCTGCATCTATTGCATAGCCGGGCTATAAAGCCTCATAGTCTGCATCTATTGCAGTGGTGCTGTGCAGTCAATGGAATAAAAAAAATTAAATGTAGAAAGGCTTTAAGACAGATAACTATAGGAATCATCCATAATTCTCATACCCAAAGATGATTACGGTTAAAATTTGGACCATGTCCTTTTGTCTTTTATTTTAATCTTTGTGTGTGGGAATGTCTGGGTTTGGATGTGTGCATGCCATGGTTCACGTGGTACACAGAGGATGACTTCAGGCATTGGTTTTCAACTTCCACCTTGTTTCATACTGGATCTCTTTTTTGCAGTTATGAATGTTAGATTAGCTGGCCCAAGAATATCTGAGATGATCCTGTCGCCAACTCCTGACTTGCTGTAGGGGTGTTGAGATTACAGATGGACCCAGCCTTATGTGGGTTCTGAGGATCCAAACTCATGTCCTCACGTTCACACAGCAAGTGCTTCACCCATTGAGCCATCTTCCCAGCCTTTTTGTTATTTTTGGAACTGGGTGTCCATATGCACACATACTTGTGCTAATATATGTGCATACACACGCTCCTATATACACAGATAACTTATACAAAAGTAGACTATATAGTTTTGAAAATTATCCCTCCTAAGTTAGTAACTACTCTCTGTTGTAATTTTTAATGGGTGGTATGCCATTATGTGGCTGGCAGATAATTTGCTCAGCATTTCCTTGACATTCAGGTCAAGGGATTCTTTGTGCTGGGAGTGCTTGGTCTGGAATGCCAGGACCTTGTAGGGAGGTGGCTCCACAGCTTCTCTGTCCCCACTGACCAGCTCACACCTCTATTGACAGGTGGCTTGTCCCACTTTTCTGTCCTTGTAGAACTTGGAAATATTTGTTCAACTTATCTCAGGGTATTATTGAGAATTTTTTTATTTAAAAAAATCACTGGGAGCTGTAGAGATGGCTCAGTGGTTAAAAGTACCTGATGCTCTTCCAGAGGACTCAGGTTCAATTCCCAGCACCTCCATGGCAGGTGACAACCATCTGTAACTCTAGTCCCAGATCTGAAGCTCTCTTCTGATTTTGCAGGTACCAGGCACATGTGGTGCCCAGACACACAGGCAGACACAACACTCATATGTATGAAATAAAAATAAATGAACATACAGATTTCTTTTTAAATATTACAGGATTGGAGGTAGCTCAATGGCAGAGTACTTGTCTAAAATGCACTAGGCACTGGGTTTAATTTCCAACACTGAGAAAAAATTTAGTGCATACGTATAAAGAAGAAAAAAATCCAAAATGCCCTTGCTGTGCTCATCCCAGTTGTTCCTTCCTCCTGAGATCACCACTGCGCACATCTCAGTCTATGTGTCTCTGTTAAATATGAACACGGCACATACAGGACATTGGACTTGGATCCAAAGAAGCATCCTTTTAATACCCAGCTATCTTAACCACCCTGGAAGTGGCGAGCTGCCTGCTTTCTAGATACTATAAGTAGCTCTGTCTTTTTGTGGCTGCAATGGATACCTTGTTGCACTATTTACCTTCAGATCTTCCTTTGCCTTAACTCCATGCTGCCAGGATCCCTCTTATTCATTCCTCTCTGGACACATGCATGAGAATTTCTCATGGGATACATAATAGCAAGAACAAATGGCATAATCAGGGAGAGTCACTGACACCTGTCTGGTCCTGGTTCCCTGGCAGGTGATTTTTTTCACCTGTTCTTCCTTGTCCTGACTCATTTCTCTGCTTAGGAGCCCTGTGAGGTAGGTGCCGTCACCCACATCTTACAGAGGAGGAAACGGAGACACGGAGAAGTAGTAAGGTTGTAAATGCCAGAGCCAAGATCGGGACTAAGGTGGCCTGGTTCCAGAGACTGAGGAGATGTGTCATTGTATATGCATGTCACCTTGCCCGGGGCATTGGCTGTGGTTCCCAGGCAGGTGGATGACGACTAATACCGACTCCACTGTGAGAAGGTGGATATTCCTGATTTGGGGTGAAGATGGTCTCTCGCCATACTTACCAGCCATACCCGTACACGATTACTTTCATTGGCTTTCTTTGTAACTGCAACTAAAGTCACGTGTCTCTTCTCCTGTCTGTTCGCTACTTCCATTCTTCTCTGAATTGCTCATTTATATCCGTTGCCCAGTTTTTCAGTTGAGTTGTCTGCCTTTGATCTGAATAATTTGTAGGTAAACTCTGTTTATTTTGAGAATCAGTACCCTCCTCTTTTTTTTTTTTTTTAAAGAACATTGCAGCAATTTCTTTGAACCTGATTCAGTGAGTTTGTTTGCCTGTTGTGTTTTGAAACAGAACCTGGAATGCCACTGTGTGCAAGGCCTTGGGCCCGCCCCTTGCGTATTTCAGGGATGAGCAGGTCTAGATAGATCCCTGTCCAGAGCCAACAGGAACTTAAGTAACCACTGGAGAGGAATGTGCAGAGCTGGTTTGCGCAACAGCAGGGAACAGGAACTTTCACCTGGGGTTCAGGGAAGGCTTTGTGGCCAGTAACATCTGAGGGTCCCACAGGACTTGTTTTTGGACAGAGGAGCAGGACAGGGGGTGGTGTTGGGACAGTATCCCACTCAGCATCCCATTCAAAAGCTAAACGATCCATTCAGAAGCATCCCATTCAGAAGTAGAGAATCTCAGGGAAGGGCTCCAGAGGGAGTGGGGAAGAGAGGTGGGTGAACCTGTTAGCAGAGCCTCTCACTATGGAGAATGCAGCCTCCTTCTAGTGCCTTCGGTGGCCTGGTGGTGCTGCCTGGAAGGCTCAGCCATCCCACTGACAAAGCAGAACAGGTCGGGAATGGGCCCTTGGAGAGATAGAAAGGAAAAAGTCAGCTAGGTAAGAGCGAGGTTGGAGAAAGAAAAGTTCTGGATGGGAAAAGGGATTTAGTGGAGGTTAGAGAGATGGCTCAGAAGTTAAGAGCACCGGCTGCTTTTCCAGAGGAACTGGATTCCATTCCTATACCCACATGGCAGCTCACAATGATCTTAACTCCAGTGCACGGGATCTAGTGACCTCTTCTGGCCTCCATGAGCCCAGGGGCACAAATGGTGTGCACAGACATACATGCAGACAAAACATTCATGCACATGAAGTAATTTGCACTTACTATACAAATCAGGAGGACCAGAGTTCAGATGCTGGTACTGTTATAAACCATCCACTTTCCCTGCAAACACCTGTAACTAACACATGAAGGATCTGACACCCTCGTTCGGCCTCCATGCGAACACTCTGTCTGTCTTTCTCTCTCTCTCACACACATACACACATACAAACATACATACACACATACACACACACTATAATTTTTTTTTAAAGTTCTGACAGCTAGTACTCAGAAGGCAGAGGCAGTGAGTTTGAGGCTAACCTGGTCTACCTAGTGAATTCCAGACTAGCCAGCCTGTCTCAAAAAAAAAAAAAAAAAAAAGGAAGGAAGAAAGGGAGGAGGAGAGAAGAAGGAAGGAAGATAGGAAAGATGGGTAGATCTGTGGAGACTTTGCCACATATCTGATGGCATTCAATGGCAGGGGTATTTATCAGTTCCCGGCTTTGTTCAGTGAAGGTGTGTAGTGTCTCCAAGCTTGGCAGGATACCTGGCAAGTCCTGAGCTACAAAGATGGGCTGGGGCAGGCAGGCTGTGCCCCCAGCAGTCCCCTCCTATGCCAGTTTTAGCTTTATGCATGTCCTCTCCGAGAGTCTAGAAGCCTGCGGTTTAGTGTCTGTCAGACCCCATGTGCCTGGATCCCTGCCTGTGTCTCAGCTGGAGTTTATTTAGGTGTGTCTGTCTGAGAACAGATTTTAACAGAAAAGTAAGTCCATTCTTAGCTGTCACTGACCTCAGTCTCCTTACAGCTCCATCTTATGCCATTGGTTTTTAAAGCTAAACAAAACCCTCACTTTATATTCCTTGCGATAAGGCCCTGTTTTTCCTGAATTGAAAAGAAACCATTCCTGACTCTGTCAAGAGCTCATTAACACCCTTCTTTACAGCCTCTACCGTGTCATTTGCAGGAATGTGATACTATTAGCCCAAATAAGAAAGCTGGGTTCCTTTCAGTGGCTTCAACCAACTTCTGTCCAGTGACTCAGTTCAAGATCCTCTCCGCCCTTCATTTAAACAGATTGTTTTGCTTTGGCATGCTGTGGATGGAGTCTAGGACCTCATACAAGCTAGGCCGTACCCAGGCTCACTTGGGGGAATGGCTGCTGTCTCTTTCCATAGAGGTTAGTGTCCTTGTACAAAATATTGTCGTTATAATTTTCTAATCCCCCACTCCCACCTACTCACCTCAGAAACATCAGGAAGCCAAACTGGTTCTGTCTCCTGTTAAATCAACTTCAGACCCCGTTAAATCAACTTCAAACCCAGATGAATCCTCAGAGTCGATGTGGACATACTGACGTCACTCTGTTGTAGGTGTAGACACACTGACGTCATTATGTTGCCTGTGTTGGGCAACTAGGAGTCACAAACCACACAATTGTTTATGTCCTGTTGGTCTTAATAGTGATTCCCTAACTCCTGCGCATGGCCCTGTCTTCACGGTAAGGCATGGGTGCGTTTTCTGTTCTCTTCTTGTGCCAGGAGTTCAGCTATGGAGAGCTGAAACAAAAACAAAAACAAAAAACAAAAACAAAACAAAGCATTTGAAAGCCAGTGTGTTTTTCTGACCTGAAACTGGGTTTGCTTTCCAGCCGCTGGTTCCTGAAGTTAGTCACTTTTGTGCCTTTGTGCCTGATCTGTGCCAGCGGCTGTGACAGCCCTGGCTTGTCATCATGCCAAGACAGAGGCACAGCATCCTTGAGGGCCATCCTGAACACAGATCACTTTGAGCCGATTTTAGTGGCGGGTGCTGCCGTTGGGATATCTTTTCCCCAAGGCGGAGGAGCCTTGCCTGCATGCTTGTTGCTGCCCCGCTCCCTGCTGTCTTGTTTGTTTTATTTGACTCACCCTGTCAGGCTGCATGAATTAGGTTGCAAGTCTTGGGCCTGGGCCATGTTCCTGCATGCATCATAGGCATGAAACTGATGCCACATGGGTCATTAGGGACAGTGGACAAGGCCAGCAAGAGTATAGTGTTCTGCAAAGCCTACCTAGTTCATTTTAAATGCCCTGCGTGTGCTGGCCTTGATTCCCGTGTGATTTCTATGTCAGCCTGTCATAGCAACAGAGGGTATGTCAGCGGTAGAAATGACATGACCAGCCCTTCCCAGTGGCTAGGAGAACTAGTGTCATGGTTTTCCCACTCGAGAGACTCAGGCCAGCAAGCATCTCTGGTCAGAGTGGATCGCCAATCTGTCAGTGCTAGGTTTTCAGCATATTGGGGTACTGTTTTTTGCCCCCACGAGATGATTATGAGGTCTCTCAGACTATTTAACTTTTATCGCAATTTTAAGTTTGCTGGCATCATCCATAGACAAGTAGACAGAAAAACGGAACACAAAACAAGCAGTAAAAAGGAACAGACAGGCTGGATGGTGGTGGCACACACCTTGAATCCCAGAGGCAGGTGGGTCTCTGAGTCAGAGGCCATCCTGGTCTCCAGAGCTAGATCCAGGATAGCCAAGGTTACACAAAAACACAACAACAGGAAGGCAACAGACAACGGGTCTGCATAACCAGAAAGGCCTCACAAACATCACACCACGTGAAAGCCTTGTACCACAACTCAGTGATTCCATATGCAGAAAGCAGTAGAAGAGACAACACTAATGGTGTAGAGGGCCTCGGCCTTGGGTGGGGGTTGACGGGAAGGCTCGCAGACACTCGGGGTGATGTCTTGGTAGGTGGGGTGAAATCTTGATAGTCTGAAGAACATATATAATGACATATATAACCAATCTGAGTCAATGTGGTGTGAACATATGCTCAATTCTTCACAGGTACATTTTGCCTCAAAAGAAGAAAAACACCCAAGTAAATATTGGGCTCTTGATAGGGACGTGGCTGTGGAAGTGTTCCTCGGGGAGTGTGCTGACGTGGCCTTTCACTCCGTAGTGAGCACACGGAGAATAAATGTGCTGATGGAGGGGTGGATTCAGGGAGAGAACCCTGAGGGGATGGCGGTGACTTCTGGTGGAATAGCATGGTGGGGGTGGGGCCGTTTGCTGCACATGGTTCTCTTTCAACTTAGCCCTCTGCTTGAAAATTTTCATAATAAGATGTTAGGAGAAAAGATAGTGAGGGTGTGGTGGATGGGGCTCCCCGAGGAGGAAGCCAGGATTGTCCTAATCATGAAGTTATATTTCCAGATAAAGATTAGAAGACTTCTAGAGATTTAATAGAGCCAGTGACGTCGTCAGGGCAGTAGCAGTGAAATCTGACTTGGGATGCTTACTTCTAGGGTGTAGGCCACCTTGGCACCTGAAGGGACAAATGTGGCTCCTGGCAGCCCTCTCTTGCTGGTTCTGTGCTGGCAGAGTTGCAGAAATGTAAATGAGCCCAATCGCGGAGTTATAGGAACTTCCTGTGCAGGAGCGATAAGCCCGCCGCAGATATCCCGGCAGAGTCGGTTTGGCTTGTTTTCTCCTAATTATCTTCTCCGCCTGCGAGGCCGCGTTTCCCTTAATTTCAGGATCAGACTTAGTGACTTTCTGAAGACTTCTCAGCTTCTCTTGATTCTTTTGAAACCAAGGGGCAGGACCAGCTGCCGCAGTGCAAAGTCCTGAATGGGAGCCCTAATTTGGACCCCTGCCTGTTTCCCCAGGGGCGCCCCAGACCAGATGCGGCAAAGACAACTCAAGTCCTCTTGGGCAGAGCCTCTGCCTGAGAGGGTCTGTTGGTAAATTCCGAAGCTGGAGCGGGGGCAGAGGGAAAGAATGAAAGCATTATTCTAAGAAGCCACTTTTATTTATAGATTCTCCTAATTCTATTAGAACGAACGCCAGAGGGATATAAAAGTTGGAACACATAACACATAATAGAAATGAAAGGACGTTAAGCTAAACTAGGGAACGTGGTAAAACAAGGAGACTCCGTACCAAGGGGAAGATGCGACATTTTTCTGAAATGAAATCGTCTTGGAGCCATTGTACCAGGAAAGCAAATTAAAATAAGGATTCGGTGAGGAGAAAGCTTGGACGGAAGCATAAAATATTTCATAATGAAAAGGAGAAAGTGTTGAGCTGACTCAAGGGGAAAACAAATATGGAGTTAGCACTAATTACATTATAGAGACAAATAAAATGTTGAAAAGGAAATAAAGCAATTAACTACTTAATGTGCTTTAAGAGTCACTGACAAAATAAAACGCACGAAATATAATAAAATATGCAAATAGCTATAATTTGCTTCCCCCCCCAACAGCCCAGGCAGTGCCTCCTGTTCTGCATACACAATGAGGGAGTTTTGACCACTGACCAAAGGCATTGGTGGCCTCTAATACAAAGTTAACAGCCTCTCATGTTAGGCAAGCCGAAATCTGACACCACTTTTCAGCGAATGAGGTAGAGTTGGAAGAACATGTACTTATGGGGGTAAACTCAGAATAAAGTCTAAAGCATAGGGGCCAGCCAGATGGCTTAGTAGGCAAAGCCATTGACCACCAAGCCTCAGGACCGGAGTTCGATTCCTAGGACCCACGCAGTGGAAGGAGAGAACCAACTCCTGCAAGTCATTCATTCTCTGACCTCTGTGCATAGGTGCATCTGCATATCGGGCACAGCACATGTAATTTTATTTTACTGTGTTTTGTTTTTTGAAACAGGGTCTCACTAGGTGGTCTTGGCTAGCCTTGAGCTCTATGTAAGACCAGGCTGGCTTCAAACCCATAGTGCTCCACCTGCCTCTGCCCCTGAGTGCTGGGATTTAAACACATGTGTCAACATGTACTAAAATTAAAAATAAAAAAATCTAATGAACGAAGGCCTGGATTATAAGAATCTCTCTTCTGACGCTGACTGTCCGATGCTGTACCCCAACTCTTTCTTCTGAAAAGTGGAAGTTAGCAGCACTTCCAATAAGAACATGCATGGAATAGTGCCTGTCCTCAGGTGACCATGGTGCTGCTAACAGCGTCATCACAGCGATGGTTATCTCTGCCAGTGGAGCTCGACGTACCAGTCCACCCAGTGCGGACTTACCAGTCTGCCCAGTGTTAGGCGTATTGGAGTCACCCTAGGAAAGCTGCGTTTAAAGCCGGACTTCGAAGCAGGTGAGGCTGGGACTGAGGCTAGAGAGGCAGAGCACCCGTCTGACGTGTCCAAGGCCATGGCTTCCAGCTCCTGCACCGTGAAGGGAGTGGAGCGGACGAATATTGTGTGACCGTTTGTCCTCCCAAGGAAGACCATGGCTGTTAACACTTGGACAGCACAGACAGAAGCTATGCTAGACTAAACTCGTGAGCTATGACTTCTGCAGTGAGGACGTGCCATGACCGCAGCGCTGATCACAGTGACTTGCCTCCCATTCAGCAGCAGATGGGAGCGCAGGTGGGGCTTCCCTGCCCTGCCTAGCATGCTTTGGAGGCTTCCTACCTACCAATGTGGATGCAAGAGAGGCCCATGCTACTCAGAACTAAAAACAAATTCTCTCTTAAGAATCAGAGTCAGTTCCCAGCAACCACATGGTGGCTCACAAAGGAATGAGGTCTGGTGCCCTCTTCTGGCCTGCAGACATACATACAGACAGAATATTGTATACATAATAAATAAATAAATAAATATTTAAAAAAAAAGAATCAGACAAACAAAATAGTGGGACCTGTCGGCTGGCCTATGTTAACCCCTTGGAGTCAACAGGAAAGCTCACCAAAGGTGGCTGTGGATGGAAACAGGTAATCCTCTCTCTGTACTGATGTACTCCAGATTCTCATCTTCATTCACCCCACCCCCACCCCCCAGAGATACCAGCATTCCTGGAGGTGCTAGATTTTTACCTTCCTCCCAAATGTTTCTTGCTCTGGGCACCACTTATGAGGACGTTACAGAATACTGACGTCATCAGAAATGAAGGAAAATTCTAAAGAGACCATAGAAATGTAAAGGCAAAGGGGCCTTTCCGTCCTGCTCTCCTCACGGTAGCTAGGTTTCCCCAGGACGCATGAAGCCAGCTTTTCATTTTCGGGGACTACCTTGATGGACCAGCTCTTGCAAGCAGAGCCATTAGGCAAACACAAACAAGATTTAGATATGATCTGAACACTTTTGCCTACACATTGATCAACAGTTGGCGGGCCACTTAACATCCTTGGATGTCAAATCACTCATCTGTGATGTACGATTGCAGTCATCCTTGCAAAACAGAATTCCGCAGCTGGCTGTTTGAGATTGCAGTGTGAGTGTTCTCCTCTGGGAGAGGAGCGCTGGCCTTGTTATTAGTGTGGATACAAACGTGGTCCTCCTACCTGACAGCCTCACTCTGCACTGACCTCAGGAAGACTGGTATTGTCCCTAGTGGATACCTAGCCAGTCCCCACTGTGACCAGTGGCTTAGGACCAGGAGGGTGGACGCCACCTGCCAGTTGCTAGTACCACCCCTCCTTTGGCTACTCCCTCATGTATTTCCTGGGTTGGTTCCATATTTGATTTTGAAAGAGCATAGAATTCGGGGTGTTGGAGTCCTGGAGTCACCCACCGCCTGTCTCTTGACAATAAGTCTAGAATGTGAAATGAGGAATTTGCTACAGTTTAATTTCTCCAGTCGTCTGAAAGCTGCCACCACCGCCACTCACGGACAGCTCAGGTTCCATTGGGAAGAACTATACCGTGTGAATTGGCATGGGTCGTCAATTTCAGAGACTCGTTACATTGTAGCTAGGAATGTGTTCAGAGGCAGAAAGCAGAGGCAGTAACTGCAACACCGTGGAGGTTACTTTGTTTTGTTTGTGTCAAGTGGCACTTCCAGTTTCTACTCTGCCACTCTTGGCCCGAAGGTCTCTTCTTGTGGGAGTTCCCGAGGCATTATGGGGTT